ACACTGCTAACATTCTCTGATGGTGCCAATGCAGTTCACAGGGGGGAAAGGAAAAGCCTCTTAAGAAATCAACAAATAGGCCAGATGCGGTGGCTCACACCTGTAATCCCAGCACTTTGGGAGGCCGAGGTGGGCAGATCACGAGGTCAGGAGATCGAGACCATCCTGGCTAACACGGTGAAACCCCGTCTCTACTAAAAATACAAAATTTAGCTGGGTGTGGTGGCGGGCGCCTGTAGTCAAAGCTACTCAGGAGGCTGAGGCAGGAGAATGCCGTGAACCCGGGAGGCGGAGTTTGCAGTGAGCCAAGATCACTCCACTGTACTCCAGCCTGGGCAACACAGCAAGACTCTGTCGAAAGAAAGAAAGAAAGAAGGAAGGAGGGAGGGAGGGAGGGAAGGAAGGAAAGAAGGAAAGAAGGAAGGGAAAGAAAAAATCAACAAATGAGGCTGGAGCAAGTGGGTTTCCCCAGGAAAAAACCTCCCTTGACCTCACTCCATTCTCAAAAATGAATTTAAGATGAATCATGCACCTAAACGTAAAATCCAAAACTATAATGTTTTAGAGGGAAATAGGATAATATATTCCTAAATTTGAGAAGATATTTTCCTGTTTTTCTCTCTAAAGCATTATAGCAAAGATACCTTAGGGTAGAGAAAGTACTAATCGAAAAAGCAGGGCCAGGCGCGGTGGCTCATGCCTGTAATCCCAGCACTTTGGGCGGCCGAGGTGGACAAATTGCCTGAGGCCGGGAGTTCAAGACCAGCCTGATCAACATGGAGAAACCCCGTCTCTACTAAAAATATAAAATTAGCCAGGTGTGCTGGTGCGCGCCTGTAATCCCAGCTACTCGGGAGGCTGAGGCAGGAGAATCGCTTGAAACTGGGAGGCGGAGGTTGCAGTGAGCCAAGACTGTACCATTGTACTCCAGCCTGGGCAACAAGAGAAAAACTCCATCTCAAAAAAAAAAAAAAAGAAAAAGAAGAAAGGGATAAATTGGACCTCGTCAAATTGGACTGGAAACACTTAGGATTCATGAAAACATGAAGCAATGAGAAGTCCCATGTAGGAGTGGCGTGGACAGACGATGCTGCGAGCTGCAGAGACGAGGGTGACTCCCCACAGAAGTCAGCAAGTCCCTTTCTAGGAATTCACCTTTGACCAACAAAAACATGCACACAAGAAGACCTGTACGAGAATGCCGATAGCTGCTTTATTGACAATAGCCCCGAACTGGAGATAACCCAGGCATGCATACACAGGAGAACAGATAGATGCAAAAGCCGCTGAGCAGCAGCGAGGCCAAAAAAAGTAACCCACTGCATGGTTCCTGTTATAGAAAGTCCTAGAAGAGGCAAAACTAACTTACAGTGAAAGAAATCAGATGGGTGATGTGCCTTGCGGGCAGGGCCAGAGAGGGGAGGAAGAGAGAACGCTGGCTGGGGGGTGTAAACGGCCTGTGTCCTGATAAGGTCACATGGCAAAGGCATTTGCCAGCACGCACTGAGCTGCATTCGATCCATGCATTTTGCCAAATGCCAATTGTGCCTCAACAAAAAGCCTACAATTTATACTGTTATGGCCGGGCGCGGTGGCTCAAGCCTGTAATCCCAGCACTTAGGGAGGCCGAGACGGGTGGATCACGAGGTCAGGAGATCGAGACCATCCTGGCTAACACGGTGAAACCCCGTCTCTACTAAAAACACAAAAAACTAGCCGGGCGCCGTGGCGGGCGCCTGTGGTCCCAGCTACTCCGGAGGCTGAGGCAGGAGAATGGTGTGAACCCGGGAGGCGGAGCTTGCAGTGAGCTGAGATCCGGCCACTGCACTCCAGTCCGGGCTACAGAGCAAGACTCCGTCTCAAAAAAAAAAAAAAAAAAAAAAAAAAAAAAAAAAAAATTTATATTGTTATTTCATACCATACACCAAATAAATTCCACCTGGATTCAAGAGCTACACCTAAAAACAAAGAACTAGGACAAGCACTGGAACATATATTTTATAATTTGGGGGTGCAGAAGGTCTTTCTAAACGTATTACACAATCAGAAGTCACAAGACAGATTTCTGCCACATAACAAATTTAAATTCAGTATAGGTATAAAACTACAATATATAAAGAGCTCACAGGTATCAGTCAGAAAAATACAGGCAGCACAACAGAATTTTTGCACAAAGGCAATTCACATAGGAGGAAAGGCTAGGCTGTGATAAATACAAGAAGAGACGCTCAATTTTATCAACAATCAAACTGCGGAATAACACTGCAGTGAGAGTCACCCTCTAGACAATTAGAAAAGCAGGAAGTACGATGCGGGGGCCTCAGTGAGGGCTGGGGGAGACGTACATCAGTGAAGGCAAAACTGGCTGCTGTCTTCTGGGTGACGTTTTGGTAACCGATCCCAAAAGGGACAATACGTGCCCTCTGACCCCTTCCCTAAGAAGGCAATTGCACAAACGGATAAAGATGAGGTACGGGATTGTCCTTCCCAGCGTCACTGTGCTTCGCAAAAGAAATATCATACATACGTCACAAAGGGTTCACCTGGTCCAGACACGCGGTGCGTCCGACGCTCCTGCCAGAGCCGGTGGGGCTCCCTTGCCTGACGAGACGCACTCGGCCTGAGTGAACACGGCAGGCTGCAGCTGTCTCCCGTGTCAGGCGGGGGCGAGAAGGGGGATTTCTGGAGCATTTCACATTCCTCTTCCAGGTCTTGTGCGTTGAGTTTTTGGTAACAAACAGGTGTGACTTTCACAGAAACAAGTGCAACCTCCAGTGTAACTGGGTGGCCTCTGCTCACAGCCCATCCATGTTTGTGTGGCTGCCCCTCTGTGGGGAGGGCCTCAGTTCACCCAACCTCAGAAGACCCTGAGCAGGTGTGCACAGCTGGGGACCCCGGGGCCCTACTCAGCCCTCTCAGAACACACTGACCCCAGGAAGGCCCCAGCTCGCACTCCAAGGACCAACGGAGGCTGGCCAGTGGCTGAGCCCTGTTCCCTGCCCTCTGGGAACTACGTTGCCCTGAGTCACCCTGGGTCGGGGGAAGAGCTAAAAAAAGGGGCCCTGGGTCCCTCAAGCCTGCGTGGGGGGGGTGTGTGCCAGGAGCCAGCAGGCATAAGGACCCACTGTGCGTTGGCACCACTGCCATCCCCTTGGCCTACCCGGCTGGGGCCTCTTGGGCTCCAGTGTCACACCCAAGTCCACTCACTGTGACGCCTCGGCAGGCCGACCCCCACCCACTGAGCTCAGAGGGGCCTCCGCTCCAGCCACATAAGCCTGTTTTTTCTCACAGACTACAGCCTGGGTCAGGACAAGGACGCAGGCTGCTCTCTGCCCAAGTGGGCTAAGAACCTGCTAGGAGCGTTGCCCAGGTGAGCGGCTCTGGCTGCTGCAGGACCAAAGGGCCAGCCTGCATGGGTTTTCCATTTTTATTTATCTGAAGAGGAGAAAGGAGGAGGGGGAGGGGGAGGCGGAGGGGGAGGGGGAGGCCTCCTGCCCTGCCCTGGCCCACCTGGTCCCTGTGAGACTCACCTGTTCCCCGCGCCTGCCGCAGGTCCCCTCAGCCCCCTTCCCAGTGGGCCTGCACTCCCGGGAGCATGTGCAGATGGTGCCCCACAGTGCAAAGGGCCTGTGAGGTCTCTTCCTCCTAAGCCCAGCCCAGAGTCTGGTTCAGGGACAAGGGGTTCGCTGCAGAGCTGCCCAGGACCGTGTGAGGTGGGCTCTGTGTTGGGTGCTCATTTTAAATGGCTAGAACTTTCTGTGACAGGGCCTAGTTGTCGGGCCACCCTGGTGGGCCTGCGTGATACCCAAAAAGTTTGCTATTGGCTTGATTCAACCAACACCTGTTTGTATACCCAGCACCTGACCCTGGGCACAGAGCAGAACAGGTGAACACTCAAGCCACAAAAATTGATTACAGTCATCTGCCAGCTACGGGCTGTCCCAGGGGAAGGGGCTGTACCGGCTGCTCCCCGGGCAGGGGCGCTCCCCCTGCAGGGCTGGTGGAGCCAGCAGAGCCTTAGGTTCAGGCTCCAGTGGCCCCTCAGTCACCTCCTGCCACGGCCTCTGGGATGAGGTGACCTGCGGCTCCTCCACGCTCCTGAGCCCAGGCTTGGCAAGAACGCAGCCCGTTCCACACAGCCCCTCCTCAGACGCAGAGGTGAAAGGCCGTAGGCGGTCTGGGTTCCTGGAGGAACGTGGCCTCCCCTGTGGCCCTGTGCAGAGGGGTCACAGATGGGCCACATCCATCCTGGGTCCACCTGCCCAGTCCTTCATGCAGTTGCGCCATGTCTGGTGACAGGCACTCGTACCTCAGGCTGGACGACCACGCACCCTGACTTGGGCCGTCTATTCACAAAGTGCAGGGCAGTTGTTATCGTGCTAGGTAAGCATCTAAAATGCCTGAGTGAATTCTGTGTATTAAACCACGGAGTGTCTGAGCGTGTTACTGAGGTTACAATACACTAAAAGCCCTCCTGTGGTGAGTGAGGCCGGTCAGCAAGGAGAACACAGCAGGCTGGAGGCTTTGGGTCTAGGGGTCCCCACAGAGGGGTGGGGGTCATGGCTGGCAGGAAGTAGGATGGGCTCTGGCTCTGCCTTCTCCAGCCTCACTGTTCACGTACAGCTTTGCCTCTGGCTGTGACACTCACCTGACGAGCCCTGTCGGCTTCCAGAACGATGCCCAGACCTGGGCACCCAGCACTAGACGCAGACATGCAGACACGCACAGACACAAAACATACCAGTGTGCCCACACTCGCACATGTATTCACACACACATGCACGATGCGTTCGCGGACACACACAGACTCATTCAACACATGCAGGAATGCACAGGCTTCCCTGACCTCTGCCTGGAATGTCCCCCCTTCGGGGACAAATCTGGGGGGAAAAGGAAGCTGTACTTCCTTGGACAGGGGACAGAGAGCTGGGCCGGGTCCAGGGGGGACCCGCAAGTTCTGCAGAGACCAGCTGAAATATGGTGTCATAATAAAAACCCCATTTAAAGTACTTCTTTTTTTTTTTTATTGATTTCATTGAAAACAGAACAAGAAATGGTCAGAGCCAAAAGACTGCTCTTAAAACTGTCAAAAACATTTTAACAGAAAAAAATAAACACGACTGCCTTATGAATGTTTAGAAGAGTTGCACAAAAAAAATCCCACTGTTACTGCACTAATTACAGTATTTAAAAAGGTATATGCCAAAAAAAAGTATATGACCTGCCAGGCCACCACACAAAAGGTGATGGCAAATTTATTCACACTACAAGACTAACATTTTTAAAAAAGTTTTTCCTGCATTTTATTCTAAAATCACTTTGTTCTCTTTATACAGTTGATAGTTTATTTCACGTGGTGAGTAGAAACCACACCAGAATCAGCACCGTTGTCTGTGTTTTGTTTTTTATTTTTTGTTTGTCCTAATGTTCAGTAATGGTAGAAAATAAATCAGTTTATTCATCATAGCATGTGGCTTAAAAAATCAACAGAAGGTGCCAGCGTCAACGGAACCGGCGGGGGCTGCACCCACCAAACCACTTCCTCGAAAAGAAACGTCAGTTAGAGGTTTGATATATAGGACTAGATATAGGATTCCTTTAAAAAGCAAACCCACATTTTCTCCAAAGTTAGTGGTGGGGTCGGTCTCCTGACTCTCGGAGACTGGCAGCAGACAGTGTCCTCCGTGCAGCCCCTGGGACCCGGCACCAGCCACGCAGGCCGCGGGCAGGGCGAACGGAGCAGCTCGCGCTAACGGTGGCCTCGGCGGCGCCACACAGAACAGTCTGGGCCGGGCAGGAGAACAAACAATCCCGTGGTGCAGCGGGGACCTCGGAGGTCAGAGGAAGAAACGAGAAACTTCGCAACGACAAATCAGCATCAGAAACTCAGAAGGTGATGCCAGTGCGGACTCCCAGCGTCTTTGGGACGCGGGCCAAAGTGTGCGCTCCAGCCTGGGCACTGGGCAGGTGGCTGGGAGGCGTCCGCACCCGCCCGCAGGGGCTGCAGCCTCACCTCCGACCCCTCCAGGAAGCCGGCGGCGCAGCCCCGCAGGAGGACCCTTCAGTCCCGTGCGGAAACTCTCCTCCTCCTCCTCTAAACGGCGACGCGGCGGACCCCGGCTCCCGAGCGCCCCGCTGGCCGGCGGCGTCTCATAGCGGGTCGGCGGCAGCCGCGGAGCTGGTGTCGGGCAGGCCGTCCTCCTGGGCCTCCTGGGCCGCGCTGGCCTGACGCTGGGCCAGGGCCGCGCTCGAGTGCCGGCACTTGGGGGAGCCGCAGCGGCAGCTGAAGAGCTTGCCTTTGATGTCCCAGAAGCGCTCTCCATAGTCAAACCTGGGGAGGGAACAGAACCAAGGCTCCCAGTCGAATCCCACCGGCACCTCCCACAAGCCAGATAAAGGAAGGCAAGGCCAGAGCTTCCTCACCCCGACGTGCCGTGCCGCACCCCAGGCCGTAGTTTTTAGAACTACAGGAAAACCCTGAGGATAAACCCGGGACAAGCCCAGGAAAGCAACGCAAGCCCCGTTCCTAAAACCGTCCCACTAGCAGCGGAGATGGCCAGGGGCTGGGACGGTGCGTACCCGAGCTGTTCGCCAGCCTCGATCAGGCGGGTGCTGAAGAAGGCGATCCGGGGGAACCGCAGGTCCTGGTGGGCCATGAACACGCGCACGGGCACCAGGTTGGGCTCGCAGTGGTGGTTGATGAACCGGCTGACGTTCCCGTAGAACCGCGCGTCGATGCAGTAAACCTCCCCGTCCTGCAGGGCGAGAGAAGCCGGCACGCGCTGCAGCGAGCAGGGCCCCGCAAGCTGGCCTCGCCGGGTACGGCAGCCCCAGAGCCTGGGGTTGGGCGCAAGCCCGCCACGCAGGAGGGGCCTTCTCCAGTGATCCCTGGCGGTGGTGCGGAACCTCCGCTGGCCTTCCCGCTGTGTGGCCGCCTGCCCCGCACCCTGCCCTCCCTCCTGGGCCGCCGTCTGCGGTGCGGTGGGGGTGGTGCAGGCCATTCCCTTGACGGCGTCCCCATGGGACGGAACACGGACAGCACCGTCCCACCCAGTACCCATGGGGCTGTCTGGCACCAATAGGGGAACGGAGGCCGGGGCTGCAAGAGCCCCGTGAGGCAGTAGCGGGGGCTGAGGGGGTCGGGTGGGATGGAGCTGGCGTCCGGGACGCACTGTCTCGGTGACGAGGAGGCGGAACAGTCCCCGGAGGGTCTGGGGAGACTCAGTGGCGAATGGCACCTGGGAGGACCCTCAGGCGGAGGCTGCCCACAGAAAACGACTTCTGCTGCAGCTCTTCCGGGAGCTGGTGTGGTTGTGGAACACGAGGCCGAAGAGACTGAGGCGTCCTCCTCACCCTGGTGCCTTGGAGAGAAGCCCAAGATTGCAGGTGGCCGCATGGCCCTGGCCCCTGGCACTGGCCTGCGATGATGGATTTTGAATTGACTGGAGAGAGGGGAATGAGGTGGGTGGGCCTGACCTAACCACGCAACCCTTTTAAAAGCAGCTCTCTCTGGAGACCCAGGGCGTGGAGCTGCTGTCGCCTGCATGGAGGGACTGCGTGGGAGGAAGGTGGGTGGTCCCGGCCAGCAGCTAGCAAGGAACCTGGACGCTGCCCACGCGACCACAGGGACCTGGGCTCAGCAGCACCCCGCCTGTGCAGCCCAAGGCCCGGCACGCTCAACCCCTGCTGCGCACACTGGGCCGAGTGGGCGGGCGCTGTGGCGAGCTGCGGGTGGGTGGCGTGGTTTGTTACCCAGCGACGGGAAGAGGCAACACCACAGACGACAGCCAGGCAGACGGGGAAGGAGGTACCTGGGGCTTCCCAGGACCAAGTTCCGAGAGGGAGGAGCCTGCAGGCAGAGACACCTGGTCCACAACCCGCCCCAAAATGAGTATCAACCAGAGAATCAGAGACGCTCAGAGATCAAGAGGTTAAAACCCAAACCAGCAAGCGGGTGAAGGCGTGGACGAGGGCAGATCTCCAGTAACCTTCGCGGCGCGGGCACAAGACGGTAAACCAGGCGAGCACGGCCGCGGGACGGGACCAGCCACAGCCCCCAAAGCCAAAGGCATGGGAAGCCGCCTCCTGGTTTACCCCAAAGAAACAGAGCTCAGAGTGGCTCACGTGGCGTGGACTTTGGCCTCTGCCTCAGGGTCTGATGGACTAAGAATCTATAGGCGACCCCTCCCTGTGCAAAAAGCACCTCTGAAACTAGTAGCAGCGCACACATGAAAGTCCTAGACAGTAGCAAGATGGTAACTGAGGGGCTCCGGACTGGAGAGGCCAGGCCTGGCTCTGCCCAGGCTTTCACCAGGGGTGGCCCGTCTGGCAGAGCACACAGCGCTGCCCCGTGGCGAAGAACCTGCAGGTGCTTCGGAGGCGGGTGGGGTTTCAAAGTCTGTGTACACAAATCTCTGCCCAACCAGGTAGCAACCCCAGCAAAGACTCACGACTGGAGTAACGCAGACAGGCCATGTGGGAAGCGGGGCCTGCGGAGGGAGCCCAGCCAATCCTAGGACTGGAGGGAAGGCACAGAGGCCACGTGGAGGGGGGGACTGGGCCGGAAGAGGGAGCCCAGCCAATCCTAGGACTGGAGCGAGGTGCAGCGGCCACGTGGGAGGTGGGGCCGGAGGAGGGAGCCCAGCCACGTGGGAGGTTGGGGCCGGGAGGAGGGAGCCCAGCCAATTTAGACCGATGAAGTGCAGCGGCCACGTGAGGTGGGGCTCATGAGGGAGCCCAGGCATTCTAGGACTGAGGGAAGGCACAGCTTACGTGGAGGGAGGACGCCTGAGGAAGGCCAGCCAATCCCCAGTAGACTGGAGCGAGGAGCAGAGGCGCGCGTGGGGAGGCAGGGCCTGAGGGAGCCCAGCCTAACCCAGACTGGAGAGGCAGCACAGCCTGGGAGTGTGGGCTCATGAGGTGCAGCGGCCACGTGGGAGGTGGGGCCTGCGGAGGGAGCCCAGCCAATCCTAGGACTGGAGAGAAGGCACAGGGACCACCAGAGAGGCGGGGCCTGCGGAAGGGGCACAGCCAATTGCACTGGGGAAACAAGACCCACACAGGAGAGAAACCAGAGTCCTCCCCACATGTTAACAGAAACAACTGAAGTGACCTGACCCTTGAAACACGGAGGAAATGAACACGTCTGAAAGAGAACACTCAACTGAGCCCAGCCTTGAGATGAACCAAATGCTGGGCCAACAGACACGTATTTTCAAGGCAGCTCCTAAGGCTATCCTCAATGAAGAACAAAAAGCAAGATTTCATGGCATGAAAATCTCAGAGAAATGAGAAGTCTCAGCAGAGAAACAGAAAAAGAATCCAATGGAAATTCTAAATCGAAATTAACTGGCTGCTGAAGCCATCACCGGGTGGATGAACAGAATCTCAGATTTGCCTGACAGGTAAAGTCAAACAATTGACTTGTACGTAACATTATCTGAGATAAATAGCAAGGGCTGAAATCAACCTGAATACCCCAAAAAAGGAGGAGAAAGATTTCCACGTACGGACAATATGATGACTCTTTCCAAATCCTGTCAGGAGAAAGGTAAGGGCTGGTGCAGTATCTACACTCTACCACTTTTTGTGTTAAGGAAAGAGAAGAAATAAGAAATTTACCTGAGTATTTTTTCTCGATTTCTGCTGATGGTTGCTGCAGGTGCTATGGTTGGAATGTGTGTGTCCCCCCACCGGACTCACAGGCTGAGACCCCTAGGTTACAGTGGGGGCTTCGGGAAGGCGATTAAGTCATGGGAGTGGAGGGAATTGTGCCCTCATAAAAGGGACCCCAGAGAGCTGCTGCACCCCCCCCCACCACGTGAGGACACAGTGAGAAGGCCCTGGCCCTCCCCAGACACCAGATGTACCAGCACCTTCATCTTGGGACTTCCAGCCTCCAGAGCAGTGAGAAACATTCCTGTTATTTCTAAGCCTCACGGTTTACAGTGTTTTGCTATCAAAGTCCGAATGGACTGAGACAGCAAGAAACAGAATACAGAGAACATGGAGAGAAGCAAGGCTTTTCTGGGTGTGAACTTCCCAAGCACGCAAAAATTTTACACAATCAAATAACAAAAAATTAAATTGTAACATTTAAAATGAACTAAAATTAATGTAACTGCCTATCAAGTTGGTGACACAATCACACAAGCAACATTTCCAGTGCTGCGAAACACAGGACTGGGTCCAACTTCCATGGAACATGCTCTAAGGAGTGAGACGCTGCAAAGAAACGCAGATGCCATCCCGCAGTTGTACTGGTGCTTACTGTTATCAGTAATATCTGGGCTGGTAGCGGTGGCTCACGCCTGTAATCCCTGCACTTTGGGAGGCCGAGGCGGGCGGATCACGAGGTCAGGAGATCGAGACCATCCTGGCTAACACAGTGAAACCCCATCTCTACTAAAAATACAAAATATTAGCCGGGCGTGGTGGCGGCGCCTGTAGTCTCAGCTACTCGGGAGGCTGAGGCAGGAGAATGGCGTGAACCCGGGAGGCAGAGCTTGCAGTGAGCTGAGATCCAGCCACTGCACTCCAGCCTGGGCGACAGAGTGAGACTCTGTTTCAAAAAAAAAAAAAAAAAATCTGTTTACTTCATAGCTCTGTCCTCTGAAGAGTGAGTTGAGAACCCATGGCACCCTGACGGCAGTGGGCACCCCAGAGTCTCGTTTCGGTTTCCAAAAATCTTTCTCTTCCAAAAGTACAAAGACATCCTGGAGAAATGGCTGATTCCAAGTGTGGGGCCAGGAACATAAGGGAGGCCTGGGTGTCACATGGTACCGAAGAGCAGTGTCACCAAAGGAAAAGGAGACGGGCTGGCCTGCAGGGGCTCCCCATGGCCAAAGATGGGGCGGTTTGACCATTAAATAAGAATGGCTATAATTGATCAAAACACACATGTAAAAAATGTGTGTTTTACATGTAAAAATGTAAAAACAAACAAAAGTAAAAATCCGTAAGCCCACATTAACACTCAAAACAGAGAAAAGAAAAAAAAGACCAAAATTTACTTGCTGCCAGTAATTTTTATGCCACTTCCTCACTCTGAAACTTGGTAACTAAATGGTAAGAATAAAGCATTGATCTTACCTTTCTCTGAGGAGTAACCACAAAGCCCAGGTTTAAGGTTTATTTATTAAAACAGAAGAATGTCTGTTAATAAACAGGGAAGGCATGGATGCTCGGGGTGAGCAGTTGAGGCGGCCACAAAAGCTCCCTGCGGGACACAGCAGCCCCAGTGTGTTGCCAAACCTCAGCCCTTCCTCCCAGCTGGCCGCAAACACGGGATAAGAGAACAAGTGAGGGGACACCACGGGGGGGCACACAGAAATACGGACCACGGGATTTATCAGGCTGTCGGCCAGTCTCCTCTGCAGGCCACTGTGTGGGCTGCTGGTAGGAAGAACCTTCTGGGATGTGCCAAGTATCATACAAGAAACAGCCCCGCCTGATTCCAGAGGGGCGAACCAGGGAAAGACACCGGGGAAACTAGGAGAGTGTGTAGATGAACATCACGTGGGGCGCAATCTCGTCAGGCAGCAGTACTCACAGGCACACTCTGACACGTCACTGGGGGTAAAATGTCACATGTGTAACTAACTTTACAGTATATCAGCAAAAAAGGATGAAACAAATAAAGCAAGATACTAACAACCATCAAGTCCAGGTGGGGGAATAAGAGCCTCCACTCTCCTGATTCTCTCTGCTTTCTGGTATGTTTGAAAATTTTCACAATGTGTAGTCAAAAAGGAAT